GTAGCCTGCTGAGCGGGGAATGAGGATAATTACCAGGAAACTATTATGTGGCCTTCAGCAAAACTGCTCTCCCTTCTTGGCTGGTTGTGCTGCAGATCTCGGAAGGAGACCTCATTCCTCACCGTGGCTGAAACAGAGAAATTGCAGAGTAAGCGTTTTCCTGTATGGAGGGCTGAGTGCTGGTGTGTGCGGAAGGGGTTGGTGTGCGGTAGCTGTCTTAACTGGACATGATTCAGAGGCCCTTCTGGACCTCTAGTCTGTTGGGTTTTTTCTTCTAGTAAGCCATGATAAATAACTGTGTGCTTTGTTCAGCACATGGCAGCGTGCACACTTATTGCTTCCATAAGACAACTGCAAACTACTTGGCCAAAAAAGTGATGTTCGACTGCGTGGGGCAGTAACTTTAGAAACATAATTTCCGCACCCTTGTGTATCTGCAGAGTCTCTCAGCTTGCCAACTTTGTATGGTTTACACAATTCATCCTGTACTGCGAATCTGCTCTGGTTCCACCAATGCTTTTTCAGGTGTGAGGATGCCTTCAGCCTCCTCTCTCTGCCTTCTTTGGTGGCAGTGATGTTTCCTCTGGCTGGCTTTGGAAATATGCTTGGGTTGTCCTGTGGGTGGTGAGGAGTCCTGTAGGTGGTGGACTGGGGTCCTGTGTATCTGTGAACCCCACCAGCAAACAGAGGAAATGTGGCAATTTTTTTTTTCAAGTCACAGGATAAGGTGTTGGAATAAGTCACCAATACTTGATGTATCCAGTATGTTGGAAGAGCACCAAGCATTAAAAAAAAACTGATCTGACTATAAGGTCTATTTCAGATGAATATCTGAGTTCTTTTAAGGGGTGAAGGTCTTGATTTATTAATTGCATGTCATTAATAACCTGCAACTGCAAATCAGTCTAGTCTGGAAGGTGCTTCTTGTGTCTTATGACTCTTTTTTCTAGTTGGAATTTTGCAAGCTGTTTTTTTTTGTACCCTGTTAAGATGCGGTTGTCTTTTCTCTCTCATCCATTTCACTGAGTTTAGGAGGATTTTTCTGTTTTATTTCCTGCTAGATTTCCCAAGATGCAGTCTGAGAGCTGCTGGTCTGAGTGCAACATTCAGTGCTTTAGCTGTCTCCTAAGCCACCCTCAAAAAACAAAACAAAACCAACCCAAAAACCAACAATGCACCCACCCCCAACACCCAGAAAAGATGAAATACATTCCTGCCCTGTTGTGATTAGGAATTATGGTCTACTTGTTTTCTAAACATCTTTTTTAGTCTCACAACCAATATTAGACTAAGTTAAGAATTCTTGATTTTTGTCTAACAGGTTTTCTTCTTCCCCTTCTCCTTTTTTTCTTTTATTTTCTTTTATTTAATTAATTATTTATTTTATTTCAGGTGGTAAATTTTAAGTTTTCAGCCAGTTATTACTAAAAATGGTGGTAGAAAAATAATCCCCTTGCCATCTTAGCAGGAGGAATAATATAAGAGAGTGTAGAAATAAAATTGAATAAAAACTTTGAAGGCCATCCAGGACACAAAGAAGGGTTAGTTTCTTTGAAGATGTGGAAAATTACAGTTCAGTTGGAAACCTCAGTAAAAACCAGTTGGAAAGTATTGTTTATCAGAAGTTCTGACCAAATGTGAACTTCAGGTCAAGTTGCTGAATACTGGATGGTAGTTCCCAAAAATCATACAGTGGGATTAGTAGTAGAATTGAGACAGAGGCATTGCTTTAGCCGGGTTTTGGTGAGGGCTTTGTTTGTATCACGCAAATATGTGGGAATGTGCATGTCATTGGTGATGTGTGAAGTATGTTCTCAACGCATACCTGTGAAAAATTTTCCAGACTTAACTTGAAGCAGAGGTGCATGATTTGGGGATGTCTCATAAATTGGAGATATGGGAAGAAGGAAAGTGAACAGGGAAAATAAAAACTGATTTCTTATTCACCCGGTGTGCACCCTTCCCACCAGATCATGAGCTATCTGAAAACCGTGAGCACTTTTTCCGAAGGTTATTGATTGTAGGTGCACTTATATTTTTAAAGTTATTCTTTTCTTTAATGATGGATACAGACTTGTCCAATTCCCATAGTCATGTTGATCTGGAATCTCTCATTTTATTGTAATGAAGAAAGAACTGGAAAAGTCTTCCTCCGTGGAGCAGTAGTTTTTCTGTTATCACATGAGATGGGTATTAAACCGTTCTGGTCATGTGTGGCTCTTGAAGAGCGATCAGAAGCAAGGCATTTATCTGTGAATCTGTTTTCAGCCAGGCATGGTTATCCCAGCAGCTCTGAAGAACATGGCAGGTAAGTTGGTATGAGCTGCTAAAGGACACAGTGAGCTGGTTTTACAGATATACTAAAGAAGGGGTGGAAGTTAGAGGTACTACGAGAAACTTTACTGGGGGTCCTTTGGAGACCTTCTGGGTACATAGGTTGTCTGGGTAGGATGGACTAAAGAAAAATATTTGATGTGAAATCAATTGCAGTGGACCGTAGGGTGTCCTAAAGGACTGAGCTTTCTAATGGCCAAAATTCATATGGGAACAGAGGGACCTCATTTTTTCTCTGACAAATTAAAGTAGAGGAGAACACCTGCGCTTGGAGTGTTACCTTTTAAATAAAATTTTTAATTAATCTTTCGACCTGTCCTCCCCAGTTGCTGCACCTTGCAGGACATAGAATAGTACAGTTCAGGCAAAAATTGCAAGCGAAGAATGTCATGGGCCTTACTGAAGATCTTCATGTCAAGTGTTAATTTTATTTCATCTGCAAAGCATCACTTCATGCAACTCAGTATTTGCCTTTGTTAAGGATTAGGGCTTTATACAGAAGTTGTCCTAATATTGCTAGAGTTATGGTTTTATTGTACAAAGATGTGATAATTTGAATCTCCGTCAGGGTTAGGAAGCAGGATTTACAATGCAAGGCTTGAGGAACTTAGTATCTCTGATTTATCGAAGAGGATATCAACCTCTACTTCTCTGTGTGTTTGTTAGAAAACAGTGATAGTAGCTACTGTTTTAATATAAGCAGCCAAAGTTTTGATAAGATGCAATGGTGAAGGTCAAAGCTGGGTAAAGGCTTGGGGGTGGAGGTAATGAGCTACTGGAACAATCCATCAAGATTTGTGGTGGACATTGCATCATCCCTGGAAAACTTTTAAAATCAGAATGACTTGTTTTTTCTAAAAGCATTATGTTCCAGTTCAACCACAACTACTGACCTTGAAGTAGCTGTTAATTAGGGAATGACTCCTCATCTGTGTTGTTCAATATGTCACACTACCTGACTACTGTGATCTCTTAAAATTTTATGCCTTATAAGAATAATAGATTCATAGTTCATGTTTTTCTTCTTGTGGTGAAGACCAAATTAAAAATAAAAAAAAAAAGAAGAGTTTAAAGAAAAAGTAAGTTGAACGCAGCTCCAGCAGCCAAGGATTTTGGTGTTCTGATTTTGACTCTGATAGTGCTCGTTGTGTGGCCTTGGGCAAGTTATTAATCCACGTGTGCCTTAGTTTGCCAATTTGTCCAATCCGGCTAACTTCACTCACCTAATAGGGTGACGTGTTTTTAACATGCTGTTAATGTAAATGTGGAATCATTACAAGCTTTTTATTGCTATTTTGTTTATGACAAAGGAGAATATTTGTGTTTAGAGTAGATGCCCATTTTCCAGACCTACTTCATTTAACTCCTGGGAGATGTTTTGACTCTTCAAAAGAGGATTTTTCTTGACTTGGGGCCACTGCTGTGGTACTCTGTCCCGCCAAGTTCAATGTTCTTCTGGATAGAATAAAAAGTGTTTATGGATTTTGATGAAACTTGAAAAGTCTTGGATTGTTAAACTTGCTGTGTTACGGGAAAATGAATCAAGTTCTGACTCATGGAGGAGGACTGACCTTGGGGGGAGAGGGCAGCATTGTACACACCACAGTTTGGCTTACTAGGAAAGTATTTCTTTGGTTGTCTCTGGCATATATTTATTCTTGTTGAATTATTACCATTGCCTGATTTCAAATGGTACCATTAAGGATGAGACATGGTCTTGGTGCCCTTCTCTGAATTTTTTCTCTTTGTTACTGTATGTATATAGGTACATTTTGTTCCCTCCAAACCAACCATTTCCAGGCTGGAGGGTTGTCTGCTTCTTCTCAGTCCAGACCAAGGTGTTTGGGCAGCTTAAAGGACAACAGTTTTTTTCTGTAGGAAAAGTTAATTTCAAGCAAGAAGATTACCATTAATGTTTAAGTGTTCACAAAATCTCAAAGGTCAACAGACCAAACCCGGACAGTGCACAGTGGGTGTTAGTCCTCTCCAGATATACTTACTAAAGGTAGTGAAACAACTCAAGGTGCAATGCTGTTGATTTTTCTCATCCTGTAGGATTTGAAAATCTGGCATATCTGCAATAGTAGTTGAACGTTTTTAAGTGTTACTTAACACAGCTCTTAAGAGAAGTCTGTTTCTTGTTCCTTCTCCCTTCAGGTCAATGTGCCGTGTTTATGCCATGCTTTGTGTAATTTGTAGATGGGTGCTAATGGATCTCCATGGTCCTTGTGGAGCTGGGCAACCTGTTTTGTCCATTGTAGCTCTGCACCAGCCACTTTCCTGGACACTTGGGCTGTGCTCTACTCTGATCTCTCATGAGTGCATGTCCTTCAGCTTTTACTGCTTTCTTGGGTCCCAGGCAGATGCTTCACTTCTCTGTCCCTCCTAGCCTTTCAGTCTTTTCTGAATGTGTTCGCCTGACCTGTCTTTCCAAGTGTATCAGTTGTGGTTTGAATTTCCTGTATTGCTCAGGACTTCAAGTTCCTTTGAAGTTTGTTGTCTTCAGTTGTGCAAATACCTTAATTTGGTGTCATTGGCAGGTTTCTGTGCCATTTACTTCTACTGTTCATGAATTTTTGCTGTCTGTCTGCTCTCTGTCTTCTCTGCTTTGTTGTTGTTGCATCTGTGGTTTTTTTTTTTAATGTGTGTTCCCTTCATTTCCTAAGGATTGCAGATACAATCAATGGAAAATAATTGCCAGGATATTCTTCAGTCTTCTGCTCTCTCCAAATATTAAGGTACTTTGTACTTGATGTGTCTATTCACTTAATCGCTCTCTTTGATAGTAACATGGACCTAATTTCTAGTCTACCTTTGGCTTTCTTTGAAATACTCTGATTTTGTGCCACTGCTTTGGCTTTCTTTGAAATACTCTGATTGATTTTGTGCCACTAAATTGCAAACCCAAGTTCCCTGGCTGAGTACTTACAGTTCACTAACCTTCGCTGCAGTGGAAGAAATCAGTCAAGTTTTGCTTGCTGATGGAAAAACTCCAAATTTTCCAGTCTAGTCATCTGCTGGGGTATGAAACCAGAGCAGTTTTTCACCAGTCTTCTTGAATTTGGACGCCAGAACTAAATCTGGTATATTAGAAGTCATGACAATACTTCTATGCTTGTACATCTGAATTGTACTATCTACTGAGCTAAAAATGGCTTGCTATCCCACCTTCCATTTCATTGCATAGCAGTGCAAGAGGATGAGTGTTTTGCCTGTATATGATACGATGACTGCCCTTAGCAGTACAGAATAAGATACTATTAAACAAATTTTTGCCAGTTCTGCATTTTCACAGGAAAAAAATATACCCTTCTGTTTTGTTAGAGAAGCAATCCATTGGACTGTTTTACCCTTGACGTGCTTAAAAAAAGAAATCACTGATAATCTTAACTCAATCAGCCATTGATTTCTTCATGTATCCTCTCGCTTCCCATATCAGCTATCTACACATCCTAACACCAGATTTTTATTTTTTTTTGTCAGCTTGACCTTTTCTCTTTATTCCATTTGTCATGTTCTCTTTTTCTTTTTTTTTTCTTTTTTTTTTTTGTATAGCCTCCTTAACTTCTGTCTGAGCCAGGTTGCCTTTTAACTAGCATGGCTGCCTTTTTCAGTTGTGGGATTGTGGCTTTTGGAGCATCTAGTTAAAATGTTCTTAAACAATTTTCAATTAGTCTTCATATTTTTCTGATTACGTTCTTTTTCCCCAACTGATTTGGCTCATAATTGTTTTCAGCTTGATGAAACTGTCTCTTTTTAAAAGTGTATGTGTGTGTATATATGTGTGTTATATATACATATGTGTATATGTGTACTATTGGTACTATTTTATTCCTACTTTAGGTGATTTTTGGGTGCACGTAGAATTGTGATCAAGTCATGGTGACTTGCATTTTAGCTATCAAAATGTGGGATAAAACATGGCTGCTGGTTAAAAACTTTATTTTTCCAAATGGGCACTAGCACAGGGGATACTGATTTAGGGGTTTGTTGGCATTTAGCAGATGGTGTTTCTGTTGTGAAGGGGCATCATCTCCAGCCCTTGGATGTCTGAACAACCTCAGCTCCAGCTGAACTGGCTGCGTGGTGTGTTATATCCCTGAGGTTAATGCTGTGTTAGCTCGGGAGTGATTTAAAAAGATAAATGCTGCCTTCACGCTGGTGTCAGAAGTGCTGTGGTCCATGTCAGAGCAGGTGCATGAGTTTCCAGGTGAGATGGTATTGCCTTATGTGTGCTCTGCAAACCTGGTGGAGGGGCAGTAGTGGGAAGGTGGAAATTTCTTATGATGAACTGGAAAAGTGGAGGAAAGCCCAAGTTACTGTGGAAGAGCAAGGCAACATAACTGCAGGCTGGTCCAAGTCCAGATAGTGTCACTTGGAGATCTTTGCTGTAAACTTCACAGCAGCATTCAAACCAAATGGGGATACTATTTGTGGTGGAGCAAGCAGGAGAGGGCTGCTATGGCAGAGGTGAGGCAGTGAAACCATACAGCAGAACCAACGTGCAACAGCTACCCACGGGAGAAGGACATGAACCTCTCCTCCACCAGCGGAACCCCAGTAAGATGTTCTGCACGAGGAGCCAGTGAGATGTCCTGCACCGAGCCAGCATCTCTCCACGGAGCTGTGCAATACAGATAACTATTTGGCTGGATCAAGCCCGCAGTGCTGGGGATGCATTTGGAGGCTCTGATGGGAGGGACCGTCCCAGATTACCCCCCAGCTGACCTTTTCCTTGAGCTGGATGGAAATGATCAGTGCTACGAATGTAAATGATCAGCAGTTGGGCTCCATCTGCAGCTGGTTAATTACCCGTTCACACAATATGTTGTTAGGGGTCATCTGGTTCCAGTTTCACCATAAACAGAAGTAAATGTTGGGAACATACTTTTCTACATCCAGTTTCACTTGTTGTGGATACTTGAAATAGTTTGCAACCCACATCTTTTGGTTTTCGAGGAGGGCTTTTGGCCAGGGAGCCCTGCGACCATTTGAGATTTTTTTTTTCTTTAAAAAGTGCCCTGGAGGTTGCATTGTAGGGACTTTCCTTATGCAAAACATAAAAGTGCTGTTTTTTAAAATTATAACCATATTTTTCATTAAAATCAGTTGGAGTCCCAATAAACAATCGACTCCGAAAATTTTCCAAATGTTTGCTGCAGTGCTGTTTCTATTTTTAATTATTTTTTAGAAAAGTGTTTTTCTTAAAAACACAGCTTGGTTTATAATTTAAAGAAGCAATCTAGTAACTCAGAAAAAATGCCCATGTATATAGCTCTTTATTGCAATATAATTAAAACCTACTGTACATTTGAATGTAAGAATACTTCTGTAGCAGTGTCCGATGATTTCTGACATTTGGCTTATTGTGGGAACTTTTTTTTCTGTTACTGACTCTCCTCAAAGACTCTTCCAGTGTATTAATACATTTGTTTTATATAAATTGAGAACTGTGTGCATATAGAGGGAGATGTTCAAAACTCTGTAACAGTGAAACACAGAAATGCCTGGTTCATAGCAGTAAGGCATGGTTTTCACACTGCATCAGTCTTTGGTATTGTTATTTGTAGTCCGTATTCACAGCTTTATTAATTGTTTTGTTATCTGGTGCAAGATTTGTTTGCTTTCATAAGAAAAAATACAAAACTAAAGAACAACAAACCTCACTTTTCCATCAAAATTTTTCATATCTGCTTTATAGAGAAGAAGGAAAAATGTTTTTAAGGTATTAAATTTTTTTTTTTAATTGCAATCCTGTGCAAGCTGGAGATTGAAGGGTGTTAGAGGGTAGTCTGACACAGTTTCTGTAAAATGCCAAGTGTCCAATGAAAATACTTCTTTCTAGAAAGAACCAGGCCCTGCAAGAAAGACGTGGTGATGGGGAACCTCTCCCTGCTGCAAACAAAAATGGGGTGAGAGGAGGAAATTTGGAGTTTACCCATCTTTGTTCTGCTTTAACCTTCTCCACCAGTCACTGCTGTGTCTGCTCATCTCAGGGGCTGAGCCAGGAAACCTGTTTCAGCTGATCTTAACTGCTGGAGCAGGCAGGTTGGCTGGTTAGACATCCAGCTTTGGCCAGATGTGTAGGATATAGAGGTTGAATAGGAGGACTTGCTTGGTAGGGGTCTGTCAAAGATAGCAGCTGAGCTTGTGGATTTGTTAATTTTTCTTATCTATGGACACCAAAAAACCTTTGCAAAGCTGCTAGCTAATAACGGTCATGCTTCTGGGTGCAAAGCTTCTGTCACATGTGTTTCACATGGTTTAAATCATCCTGTGCAACCAAGCAATCAGTTCTGTGCTTCTGGGTTTTGGCTCAGCGAAGTAGAGTGTACTGAAGCCCAAGGAATTCCTAGAGCTGGTGCCCAGTGTTGGAGTTTCATTGACATCTTCACCATAGAAAACTGCTCTCTTGCTTCTTTCCTCCAAAGGCAAGGAGAGAGGGGAAAGTGAATTTGCTGAAGTAGTTTCCATGTTGCTCGAAGCCTGTTATGCTTCTAGTGAACGATCCAAGCTGTGAGTGCTGACTGGGTAAATCCACATAATAGTTTTGCTTTTCATCTGTTCCAGGGTCATTTCTGTTGTGAGACTCGTTTGAAAGCAATTTAAATTGTCTGTTTTTCAGGGGCCTCTTGGACATACAGCTGTAGTCACAGCAGATGCAATGCTCGCAGATAAGGATGTGAAATTTCTACTTGATGTTAACATGTTTTCATGTTTCTTGAGGGACATGAATGGTAACGTGGGATTCTTGGTCTGAGTCCTCAGCTGGATGCAACATGTTTCAACTTGCATTTAGGTCTCTGCTTAAGAGTTTTGCCTTTAATCTACTTAACAAGTGTCTGTAATTATCAACAAATACTTACTACCCTGTGAATGGGTGAGGGTCCAGCATAATCAACTTTGGTTTTCTGCTGAGGACCTGTGATAGGAAACGTCTTGGGTTGGTTCAAATACACTATGCATAACTTCCCATACCTCTTACTGCCCTGTCGTGCAGGTGGCCATTAGGTCTCTAGGAATTTCTGTGGGCTTCCTGGAGACCTCTTACCACCTGAGCGACGTAGAGGATCTTAAGTATTGAAGTATCACCTGTACCCATTGCCTTAGCCAGGCTAAGCTGCCTCTGGCAATAAATGTGTGGAAGGAATTTTGCCCTTGTCCTCTCTGTTAAAAAGACAATTGTTTTTTTTTTTTTTTTTGGGTGATCCTGCTAAGCAGTGTTACCTTTCTCCTGGTTTTCTAAGTCCTGGGCACTGAGAATTTTCATGAGACCTCCCACAAGGATGGCTGTTGTGTTAGAGCCACTGAAATGCCTTTCTTGTTGGCTCCATTCAGAAGATGAATGGTTTTCTGAAGTTTGCATGAGCAATAGTTTGGTGACTTCTTAGACTCTGAACTGCCATAACTTCTTTCTCTTTCCTCTTATTGTTTTTCCTCTAACGCCTTTACAGTGGGCATTCTTGACAAAACTAGGAATGAAGTCTCTGCCGAGAGCCTTACAGAAGAGCAGAGATCCATTTTGCTAAAAGGGCTTGGGAGGAACCTGAGCTGGCTTTTATGTTGAGATTGGTATCTCTTTCAACACATCTTCATTACTTGTTGCTGAGTTCTTAATCATGTTTTGCTGAGGAGACTAAACAATTTCGTAAGAACTTCGTGATGCGCAGTATCCGTTTCACATTTTTGCTGTTGACTTCTATAGAGGATAAGCATCCATCAAGAGAACTACAATTTA